AAAGAAAGAAAGAACTGGGACATCAGAGATTCCTCAGAAGCCAGTCTTGAAACCCCACACCTGGATTTGAGATCACTATTATCAGTCTGGATTACAGAGAAATAAAAGCCTATAAAATCCTTGAAGAATCAGGTTTCAAGGATGTCAACTGGGCGATTAATTAGGAGACTTAACAAAGTCACTGCCCCTCCTCCTATGCAACGAAGACAAGCAGCTCTTCTTTATCCCAAGCAAAAGCTTTGGCGTCAACTTCCCTTTTGGTGGGCTCCATCTGCCTGCGTGGGCTTGGAATCCCCTGAACCAGAGAGGAAGAACCACCTCCACTGGGGCAAGAGTCCAAAGCCTGGGATTGGAGTTGTTGGGGTAACTCTTCATGGCACTTGCACCTGGGCTGGGGCAGCATCCTGGACTTCTCGCGGGCACAGCCCGCCCAACGTTGTCGGTTTGTTGGTGAAGGGGTGCCACTGGCCCTGGATGCTAGGGCTGTCCGTGTGGAAAGGCTTACGGATGCGGATCACTTCCAAGCCCGACTGGTCCGCCAGTTTCTGCACCAGCGTCGCAATCTCCGCCACTGACTTGCAGTGGATGCTCTCCTCGCGCACAGCCCCGTTAACTGGCCGAAGGGAGGGGGTGGGGGGAGAGGAAGCGGATGGATCAGGGTAAGACGAAAGGAAGGCGAGCCGGCGGGGCACCCCCCCCAGATGCCGCCCTCCAGCCTTCGTCCGACCCCACTCACGGTACTCGGCCACCACTCTGGGCACACAGCACGGCCGCGAGTTCACGTATATTACGACCCCCGGGTTCCGTCGGGCGAAGTCTGCCACCTCCCTTTCCACGAACTCCCTGAGGAAGCCCAGAAGAGTAAGCACGGCGACCCCCGACCCTGGGCGACCTCTGCCCCGAGAGCACCCCGCGCCCTGCGCCCGGCTCACCTGGCGCCGCGGGACGAGGGCGCATCGCGACTGAGGCTAAAGCTGAGACGCTGCAGCTGCTGCACGTAGCGACCCAGACCGTTGTGGAGGACACTGGCCAGAAAGCGGCTCGGAGTCCCTCGCGCCGTCATGGCTACAGCGCCCAGGCAGCCCAGCCCAACCTCGCGGGACGGGGGCGGGACGAACGCCGGGACTTCCGGTTCCGGGAACACACGCGGCCGGGGAGTTTTGCTTCCGCGGTCATGGCCCGGGGCATGGGACAGTGACCCACGTTGCGGTCGAGAGGGGCGAGAGGAAGGTGGTGATGTGCGGCCACGGTCGCAAGCGGCACAGCTCTTGGCAGTAGAGTCGAGGGAGGACCCGGGCGCGGGGGCGAGGTGAGCGCGGGGACCAGCGGGAGCCGCCGGGTGGCGCTCTACTTGTGGTGAGTCCTCTTTGAAGGAAGGAGCGGCGAGGAGAGCCTCGAGTTGGGGGCTAGCGCCTTGAGGCCAGGAAGGGCTCAGGCGGCGGTAGAGATGAGGAAGACCAGGAGATCCCCCGGAGGGGCGGGAGTGGTAAAGAGATGATCTAGACAAGGCACAGCGGTGAGGGGCAGTGTGGAGGGTCGTAGAGGTGAGGTGGCTGCACAGGGCCATGGAGACAGAGCCAGATAGAAGTCCACGGACGTGAAAGGGTCCTGTAGATGGCCATAGATGTGAAGTAGCAATGCGCAGGGGCTGAAGAGGATTCAGAGAGATGTTTATGAGGGAGAAGTTGGAAGAAAGAAACCACCTCCAGTGGGCTCTGTAGAGTGCTGCGCCGAGGATCCCTGGGGTCTGACCTAGCGAAGGCCCCCCGAACAAGGCACGGAAGGCATTTCAAGTAGTGACTTCCTCGGTTTGACTAGGAATGTGGGTACTCCTTCGAGGTGGGTACCCCCTCCGTATCCTGCTGCCGCTGCGTGGGGAGTGGATGGGTCGCAGGGGCCTGCCCAGAAGCCTGGCCCCAGGCCCTCCTCGAAGACGGTACAGGAAGGAGGCTCTCCCAGCCTTGGAGGTACCAGTGTTGCCTGTAACTGCAACTGAAATCCGCCAATATTTGCGGGCACGTGGGATCCCCTTCCAAGATGGCCACAGCTGCCTGCGGGCACCCAGCCCCTTTGTAAAGGCCTTGCCGCTCAAGGACCAGAATGGTGCTACTGCTTCCTTCAGCCTCTTCATTGACAAGACCACAGGCCGCTTTCTCTGCATGACCAGTCTAGCAGAGGGGAGCTGGGAAGACTTCCAGGCCAGTGTGGAGGGACGAGGAGATGGGGCCAGAGAGGGAGTCCTGCTCAGTGAGGCCCCAGAAGTGGAGGACAGTGAGGAGGTCCGGAGGATCTGGGACCGAGCTGTACCTCTCTGGGAGCTGCCTGAGCCGGAGGAGGCCCAGCTGGCTCGTGTGATGTTTGGCCTTACCAGAGTGACAGATGACACGCTCAGGCGTTTCAATGTGCGGTATTTGCGGCCGGCTCGCAGCCTTGTCTTCCCTTGGCTCTCCCCTGGAGGTCTGGGATTACGAGGCTTGAAGCTACTAGGCGCTGAAGGCCAGGGAGATGGAGTGCACTACAAGGAAACCACAATTCCCCGGCCTGGGGTCTACTGTAATCTGTTTGGATTACCACTGATCAGTCGTCGAGATGTTGAGGTGGTACTGACGAGTCGTGAGCTGGACAGCCTGGCCTTGAACCAATCCACAGGGCTGCCCACCCTTGCCCTACCCCGAGGAACAGCCTGCTTACCCCCTGCCTTGCTCCCTTACCTCGAACAGTTTCGACGTATTGTGCTCTGGCTAGGAGATGACCTTCGGTCCTGGGAAGCTGCCAAGTTGTTTGCCCGAAAACTGAATCCCAAGCGATGCTCCTTGGTGCGGCCTGGAGACCGGCAGCCCCGGCCCCTGGAGGCCCTGAACCGAGGCTTAAGTCTTTCTCGTATTCTGCGTACCGCCCTGCCCGCCTGGCACAAGTCGATCGTGTCTTTCCGGCAGCTTCGGGAGGAGGTGCTAGGAGAATTGTCAAATGTGGAGCAGGCAGCTGGCATCCGCTGGAACCGCTTCCCAGACCTCAATCGTCTTTTGAAGGGACATCGGAAGGGCGAGCTGACAGTCTTCACAGGTGAGCCTTGGGAAATCACTTCTTGGGGTAAGAGGCAGAGGATCAGGTGATGAAACGCATGTGGGTTTGGGCCATGGCAAATGTTAAAGAGGAGGCTTCTCCCAACTTTGAAACCCTTGCTCCGGGTCTTAATTTTAAGGGTAGAACTTTCCTCCCTTACCCAGGTCTGTATTCAACCCCCTGCAGGGCCAACAGGCAGTGGGAAGACCACATTCATCAGTGAGTATGCCCTGGATTTGTGTACCCAGGGGGTAAACACGCTATGGGGTAGCTTTGAGATCAGCAACGTGAGACTCGCCCGGGTCATGCTGACACAGTTCGCTGTGGGGCGGCTAGAAGAGCAACTGGACAAATACGATGAGTGGGCCGACCGCTTTGAGGACCTGCCTCTCTATTTCATGACTTTCCATGGGCAGCAGAGCATCAGGTGAGATTCCAAGGCCGAGGGTTTTCAGAGAATGGGAATGCAGGAGAACGGATCCCCAACAGAATTTTCAGGAATGCTGGCTTTTCTGCTGGGATGGTCTAGAGACTGCTTGTAATTGACTCTTGAATTCCTTGCTTCTTCCTCTTCCCAGGACTGTGATAGACACAATGCAACATGCAGTATACGTGTATGACATTTGTCATGTGGTCATCGACAATCTGCAGTTCATGATGGGGCACGAGCCACTGTCCACAGACAGGTGACACCCTCTTGTGTAACTGGAATGCACTTGAACACGCGTGTCTTCGTAGGCAGCTGGCCCTTAGGCACACACTGTGTTCTTGATTTCTGACCTGTGTGCCGGTACACACCACCCTGTGTGTATTTCTGCCTTCACAGACGTGTGGGTTGTGGCAGTGGGAAGTATGGAGAGGAACCTAAGTGAGTTCTTGGGTAGAGTGAAGTAGTGTGGGTCTGTGGCCTGGGGAGATGCGAATGAATCAAGAGTGTGTGTATGCTCTTGTGCTTCTGCCTGTGTCCGATAACCTCTTCACTTTGTTGGGGTGGGGGCAGGATTGCAGCTCAAGACTACATCGTCGGGGCCTTTCGAAAGTTTGCAACAGACAATAGCTGCCACGTGACACTGGTCATTCACCCCCGGAAGGAGGATGACGATAAGGAACTGCAGACAGCGTCCATTTTTGGCTCAGCCAAAGTGAGTGGCTTTTAGAGGAGCCCAAGCTTAGGAGGGTAGAGGGGGCAGGTGTGACCAGGGATGGCCCTCACTCAGCCTTAAATCATCTTGACTGCCCACTTAGAAGAGGCAGGAGACAGCTGTCGCTGCCTTGGGGCCATGACATGAGGAATACGTGTGCTGGGAATATAAAGGCTGATGATAGTTGGTCCTTTGCCCTCCTTGTCCTCTAAGAGCTCACATCATCCAGTGGGGAAAATAGCAAGACCGTGATTATAACTCAGTATGATAAGAGCTACAGTAGGCAACACAGGCATTGGGGGAGCCGCGAAACATCTGAGTCAGCCTGGGACATCTGGGGAGACTTCTTCACCCATTTGGGGAGAGGAGGTATCAACAAAGGTTAGGTTGAGTTTTGGCAGACAGTAAGTGCTAAATAATTGAATAAATGGGAGGGCCTCCTGGGCAGCGGGACCAGCCCAGTCCTGGAGCTTCCAGGGGTACACTGAGTGCCTGTTACATGGCAGGCCGGCTGGGCACAGGGCATACAGGGTGGGGAGCACAAACTGTGCCACAATGGAACAGACATGGAGCTAGGGAAGAGAGTAACACAGAAGTGGGAAGATGATGGTTCGTTCTTTGTTCATGGGGATCAAGAATGGTCTCTGATAAAGTGTGACATTCTTTTTTTTAAATTTTTTTTTTTTTTTTAGCGTTTTATTTTTGAGACAGGGAGAGACAGAGCATGAACAGGGGAGGGGCAGAGAGAGAGGGAGACACAGAATCTGAAACAGGCTCCAGGCTCTGAGCTGTCAGCACAGAGCCCGACGCGGGGCTCGAACTCACGGACCGCGAAATCATGACCTGAGCCGAAGTCAGCCGCTTAACCGACTGAGCCACCCAGGCGCCCTAAAGTGTGACATTCTGATAGAGACCTGAGTGATAAGAAGCAGGGGTTGAGTGGGGTGGTGGGCTGTGGAAAAGTGTTACAATCAGAGGGAATGGCATGTACAGAATCTACGGCAGCAGTGAGTAGTCAAGGAACTGAAGGATTCAGGTGGCCCCAGGTTGTGGTCAGTAGTCCATGGCTTTGCCATTCTTCCCCGGACCCTCAACCTTCCTTTTTACTTCTCATATGTCTTCTTCTCACTGCTCCTTCCTCCTTTTGCCCCCATCCGCCAGGCAAGCCAGGAAGCGGACAACGTTCTGATCCTACAGGACAGGAAATTGGTAACTGGTCCAGGGAAACGGTATCTGCAGGTGTCCAAGAACCGCTTTGATGGAGACGTAGGTGTCTTCCCACTTGAATTCAACAAGAGCTCTCTTACCTTCTCCATACCACCAAAGAGCAAGGCTCGGCTCAAGAAGGTCAAGGATGACAATGGGCTAGCGACCAAAAAGCCCTCTTCTGGCAAAAAGGGGGCTGTGCCCCAGAACTCTGAGACTTGCTTGGATCAGGCCCACCAGCCCTGCCAGCCAGACCCCTCCAAGCCCTCCAGGTGAAGGCCGTTCAGAGCCGGACACTGAAATGAGCCTGGCCGGACAGGCAGGGGCATAGACTTTTTTAGCCCTCTGCCAAGACTACCTCTGTCCTGTGGGCCTAAGCTAGGGGTCCTCCACAGAGGGTCCTAACCTAGGGCAGAGTTCCATAGTGAGAGACTTGAGAACTTCCTGTGTGCCAGGCTTCGTTCTAGGTCCTGGGAATACAGCACTGACAAGACAGATGAGCTCCCTGCCTCCCTAGAACCTGCAGTCTGATAAGCAAGACAAGAGAAATAATGAACAAACACAAAACGTATTTTTAGACAGTGAGATACACCATGAAGAAAAGAAAACAGGGCAATACGTACAGCCTAGTGTAGATTAAGGTCGGACCAGATATCTCTAAGCAGAGGACATCGGAGATGGGGCTTAAAGGACTAGGATTGAGCCGTGTGAACATCTGGAGAAAGAGGGATCCAAGCAGAGCGGAAATGAGATACAGAGGCCCTGAGGTGGGAATGAGCAAATTGAGTTCAAAGCAGTGGGTTCAGGCCCCCTGAACGTAGAAGGGAATAGAGGACTTCTTGCCAAACTCATACCTAGGCTTGTGGAGCCAACGGGTGACATGGTGGGTACCGGACTCCTCTGTTGCCCATTCTGGACCCTGCCATGAGGTGGCACTTCCTACCATTGATTGGATCCTAGGTGCTTGACCCTGTAGTATCAGGGCCCCAAAGGTGGAAGCTGGCCAGAGAGCCATGGAAGGAAGCGGAGCCCAGAGTGCCTGCCACATGGACACAGATTCCATATTCTGTCACCTCACACCACTGGGGTGGATAGTCATGACTTTTTGTAGAGCCTTTTCTAGTTTTACTGAAAACAGTTTTTCCATTGCCTTGGTTTCTGTGTTTTTTCTTATTTGTCCACCAGGTGTCTCCCCAGTCTAGAACTGGATTTTCCTCTTGCTTTCGATAGGGAATCTTAGCTGTGCACTCCCAAGGAAACGGGCATTAAAGGGCCTTCACCCACACGACCCCTTATACCTCTTCTTGGCTTAGGGATGACAGAATGGTGTCTCTTTATCCTTATCTTCCCTGAAGATCTCCATGTGATTCCTGGCACAGGTGTGGGTCACTGGGCCACATGTCTAGGCCCTGCCTGACCAGCTGTCCCTCAGTGACACGAGCCACTCGCTGACCTGAGTGTGGGTTCCGCATGCTGCCGTCTTATTGGACTCCCCATCCATTTTCCTCATCCTTGTACACTCAGTGTTTGTCTTATGTCAGTATGTGTCAGAACTCCTAGGATTCTTTAAAAATGAAGAATCTAGGGCCTACTCCCCTCCCCCCCCCCAACACACACACACAGATGTTTCTGATTCTAGAGGTTTGAGAAAAGTTACAGGATTTCTTGTCTTTAACAGGTACTGAAGGGGATTGTCATGTAAGAGACTTGTGAAAAATAGTTCTAAATGATGGCACTTTTCCATCTCACTTCCTCTGATACCCTTAAGCCCTATTTTCCCTTTAGATTTGCATGCAAGAATGGTCAGAATGCCAGGTGTCCTGAGGGAGCTGGGGAGAAGCCTTTTGTAAGGGTAGGCGGAGGTTTCCTGCTCCCTCCAGGCAGGGCTGCCTTATCAGGTTCCCCCAGTCCACCTAAGCGGGCTTCTGGGGCCCTGTGGAAGGCTCTGGGCTCTCTGGTCTGTTGGGTGTGAGAACTATGGCTACAGCTGACTCCTGAAATAGACCCTGGAACAAAGCTGTTCTCTGGGGAAGAACCTGTGGGGGAGGGAGGGGGTAGTTCCTCCAGGGCCTCCCTTCTTGGGGGTCTCCCAGACTGGCTGGAGCCAGGCCTCCTAATCCCGCAGTAATCATTCCCAGCCGCTGGCTGGTCTAGGCCTCATCCAGGGTCTATAACAGCGTCAGCCATGCCTTCCAGATGCACACCACCAGGTCAGTCCTACCTCTAAGGATGTGGGTTCTACATCCCACATTCTGATCTACTGGGAACTCCCGGTGAGTTCTCAGGAAATCTCTGAGGTCCCTGTGAATTGGTGATAGAGGGACAGACACACACTTGCCTGTTTGTCTTGCCCCACTCTCCTAGCAGACTCCCTGCCCGGCACAATCGAGAATAATGATGGGGGGCAGGGGAAGCTAATGCTCCCCCAGCCCTCCCCCTACACAAACACATTCCATTGCACCCCTGTCTTAAACTCCTCACATCAAGATTAGCCCAAAGTATGTTCAAGAGTCTCAGGAGCCTAGAAAGCAGTGGGGGAATCCCTGGGAGCCACTGTCCCTGTACCCAACCAGAGCAGATTAAGTCAAATTACCCTGGTTCTGCCTATGTCCAATTGGGTATTAAGAATCTCCTTGAGCATTCAGGAAGGGCCTGGCCAAGCAGAGTCCAGCTGGATCTGCAGCTCTCTCAGATTCCGGGTCACATTTGTCTGTGAGGGGGGCAGCTTCAGTCCTCCAGCAGCTTCGTTACTGCAGATGGGTTTGAGAAGGGACTAAATTCACTGCACTCCCGCTGCCCAAGTATTCAGGCTGCGAGTGTGGCCCAGATACCTATAGACCTCGCAGTCTGTGCCTTCCCACAGGCCGCCTCTGGTGCCATGGAGGGAGGGAGCCCTAGGTGCCTCCCTGCAATACAAGGCAACTTCCTGTTTGTGCCTGTGGGTGGAACTTTATGAGTCTAAGGGAAGCCTGGCCCCTGCTCTGTGGGGGGCCAGAACTGGCGAGCACACTCACCTGGGCAGACACCTACTCCAGGGGAGGGGGAAGGTAGTTGTGCTAGGGCAGCTCTGACCCGAGGGTGGGGCGGGGTCTGTTTTGGTGAAACCTGAGCCTTCTTTGTCTGCTTCCTAGGGGTTTTCCCGGTGCCTAGGGAAGGAGCCGAGAGTGGACTCGCTTTGGCTCCCCACAGGGCCGGGCAGGTGGCAGTAAAGCCCTATCGCCAACTTGGTTAGGGCCCCCAGGTAGTTTAGCTCTCGGTCACGTGCTGCTCGGCCCTTTCCCAGGTCGAAAGCCAAATCCAGAAGGCTGTGAAGTCGGAGGCCAGCGGAGCAGCCTCAGGCCACCGTTGAGCTACTGCTGGGCTGGATACCGGGTCGGCTGCTGAGGGGGTGCTGGGCAGACCACTCCCCTCCTGGGCCGGGGGCGCGGCCTCAGCCGCCCCGCCCCGCTCCACCAGGCCCGGCCAGGCGGGCGCCCGGAGTCCGGAGCCCGGAGCTGGCTGGGAGCCGGCGGATCTGCGGCGAGGAGGTGCCCGCGCTGGAGCAGGAGCTGGGCGGGAGCTGGAGCGGCGGCGCAGGTGGCGCTGGGTGAGTGGTGGGGACACGGAGGTATCGGAACTCCAGCCTTCCACACATCCCGGCTCCGGAGCGAACTTTCCCGATCTGGGGAAGCCGGGGACTGGAGTGAGAAAGGGGTCCCCACTCTGGGCGACGGGGGCGGGGCGCAGGCGAGGAGTCTGAACAGGGAACCGACACAAACTCACACCAGCGGGCACACACACGCGCGCACACAGACCCACGCACTTGGGACACACGAACACACGTGCATTCAGGAAAGGACGCGCCCCATAGATTACCCCTGCAGTCCCTGGAGCAGCGCCACTGGCCCGCACGGACCCCCAGCGGACAGAGCGCTCTGCTGTCGCGCACTTGACGGGGGTTGGAGATAAAGGGCTGCCCTGTGACCGCCGACGGGGACGGGCCGGGTGGGACACCTCCCGAGGTTCCTGCTTCCTGGCCGCCCACAGGTGAAGACTTAGACGTAAACAGGCGCCCAGCACGTGATCGCTTCGCAGACAAGTGGGCTGTGCTCCCCCACCCGCGCATCAGGGCGAGGACCTCCCTCCCCAGTCCTGGGCGAGTCTGCAAGGTCTCCAGCCGAGCAGTATTCCATTCTCCTTCCAGAGAAGTGTTAAACCTTCCCACAGAAGTGGGAACAGAACGCCCCCTGGAGTCCGGGTAGCGCAGGACTGGAGACTTGCACTGGGTGGGGTGACCTGGGCTCCTCTCCTTCCTTCACCCGAACATGTTCCTGGTGCCCTCATCCCTGAAGGTATCGAAGAAGGGAGTTATTTTTGATGGCAGTGTACAGCAGCCCCTGCCCCATACCTCCAGTCCAGGGAGCAGCTGCCTGAGCCTTAGTGGGTCCCCTTCCTACCACTCCCCTCCTTGCACAACTGGGAGCTCTTCCCCCCAATGTAGGAGCAGAAAGCCCACTCCTGCGAGGGTGGGAGCCCTTTCCCGGACAATGCATGAGGGTAAATGTCCCTAAATACAAGAGTGGGCCTATCTCCCTCCCCTAGAAGGGAGGATGAGCCCCCTCCCTCAGGGAATGAGGGAGTGGGCAGCGGCCTTCTGCCTCCCTCACCGCCCCACCCTCCACCCCTACACACATGCTGAGCCCAGCTGCTGCCTGAGCTTCTGGGCTGGCTGCCAGAAAGGGGAGGAGGCTCCTGGTGCCCCAAGAGGCTGGGATCAGGGCAAGGCCAGGGGAGGGGGTCTCTACTGGGGGGGGGGGGGGGGGGCTCAGTCTGTTCTTGTAAGGCTCAGGGTCTGGGATGAGCCTGAGGGTAGTTGGGTTATGTCTCCCTTTCCAGGGAAAAAGAAAGAAAAACAACCCTTTCCATAGAGCTAAAAATAGAGCTGAGAGCTGGCCAGGGCTGTGGCCTGGAAGGGGGGGATGCTCCTTCCTGGGGCAGAGGAGCTCTGGCAGGCCTTGGCCTTGGGGGTGGGGTTGCAAGTAGGGGGTGGGAAGCTGTTCTTGCCCAGGGGTGTGGGCATCAGCTGACCTGACTGGGGCACAGAGACCCTTCGGGGAAAGTCTGTGTGGTAGAATGTTTGTGAAACTCACTGTTTATGAAAGTTGTCTGACTGTGAATGAGACCACCAATGTGTGAAAGATGCTTAGGAGAGGAAGCCTATTTAAGATCGTGAGTCGGTAGTAAGGACTTTGAGTTGTTGTGAAAGACTGTGCACAACAAGGTTTGTGACACGGAGTATGTCTGTGTGTGCGGTGGCCTGAAAGATTATGGAAAGGAGCGTGGAACCACGTGACGGATGAGACTGTGTGATTGTGGCTGCGTGGGACTGCATGTGGGAAAGGTCGTGTGGGTGTTATGAAGACTGTGGTGTTTGCCAGAAGGTGAGAATATCTGCGACCCTGAGAAGGCAGAGGAATGTTGTCAGCTGTGAGGCTGGTGTAGGTTTGGACCGGCTCACCCCCGTGATTGTTGGGGGATCAGGGACTGCGCCTCTCTCCCAGCAATGACCTCCTTCTTAAATGATTCTGAGAGGAGGTTGGGGAGCAGAGAGCCGCGCCTGAGACAGGCCTGGGCTCGCGCAGGAGAGGGTACAGGGCCGGGGAGTCGTGTAGAGGCCCCCAAGGTGGAGGGCGAGGGGGTGACTGAGTGTATTCACCGAATGCGCCGCCAGGTGGCGCCGCCTCCGCAAGTCCAAATATTCCTCCACCAACCGCTGGGGGTGGGGGGGCAGGCCCGGCGCGAGCCTCGGCCCCCGACTCATCCTGGGGCGCAGGGTCCCGGTAGCAGGGGTTGGGGCGGGGGAGGGGCAGCCGACCCTTGGCGTCTCGCTCTGGACTCCGAAGCCCGAGAGTGTGTCTTGCGGGGGAGGCTTCGACCGAAGAAGCGGAGGGGGAAGGGCGGCCGCCTTGGCGCCCGGCCCTTTGTGCTCGAACAATGACCAGCTGCCGCTGGCCCCGGGGCCCGGGTAGGGGTAGAGGGTGACCCGCGGCCGCGGCCGAGTCCTAAGCCGACCGGCTCTCGGAG